ATTGCCAGCTTCCTGAGCAAGCGTCTACTCATCAAGGGCAAGAGTGAGGTTGAGGTGAACAGGGGGGTTAGTCAGGGCAGCTGTCTCAGTCCAACTCTGTTCAACTTGTACACCGCAGAACTGCACGAGATAAACGATGGCAATTGCCTACTGTTTCAGTATGCGGACGACTTCTTTATTATTTGCTTCCACAAGGAGATTTCCATTGCCAAACGTATGCTCCTAGGAAAAATAGACAGCTTTGAGGCAAGATGCAACAGGCTTAACCTTGCTTTCAACCCAGCCAAATCCAAAGTGGTTCACTTCAGCATCCGAAGAACCGAGCTGAACATTGAGCACCAAGGAGTCGAGATTAGGCAAGTAGATCAGATAAAATATCTAGGCAGAATAATTTCAGCGAACAACTCAGCCTCAGTGCACATCGAGCAAGCCATTTCGGAGTCAAACAGAACCTGTGCGTTCTTAAGACTACTCAGTGGGTGCCATTACGGTATCAGCCCAAAGAGAGGGCTCATAGTTTTCAAGGCCTTTGTCAGAAGTAGACTAGAATACGCTTGCTCGTCTTTCAGCAACTTGTCCAAATCCGCTCTAGCCAAAATCAAATCTCATTGCAACCACCACCTTAGAAAGTCACTAGGCTTAATCATCTGCACCCCAATCCCGATTATTTACCACATGGCAGGAGAACTTCCCCCGGAATACAGAATGAGATTCCTAGCGGCAAAAGAGTTAGCCAAGGCATTTGCGTACAGCCTCCCAGCGAGTAGGACAGTGTCCCTAAACAGGGACATAAACACGGGCTACGCCAAGGCATTTCGGGAGTTCGGTGATATTCTGGAGAGAATCGAGGTCTTTGAGAGTACAACTTCGCATTGCACCAAAATTAGGTCAGACTTAGACTTCTTTAAGGGGGCTGCTGAGAACAAGCATAGCTTAGACCAGGCAGGCATATTAGTTCTCCATAGGGAAAAAAGGGCATTACTGACAAGGGGAGGCTTCGAGATCTACTACACTGATGGATCAGTAGCTAACAGACACTCTAGCGCAGCTTTCCTACACGACAGCTCAGGTTTCATAGACAGCTTTTACACGCACAAAACCTTGTCATCACTGTCCGCCGAGTTGCTTGCAATTGAAAAGGCCTTGGACCATGCTATTTCCCGCGGGTTTTCTCGTATCGCCATCCTAACGGACAGCAGAAACGGGGCTCTAATACTGGCAAGGAGCATTCAGGATAATTTTATCGCTTATAAAATCAGGGAGAAGATCCGTCAAGCCCAATACCTAAGGAAGGTAGAAATTCATTTTATACCCGGCCACGCCAACATCCCTCAGAACACGGCAGTAGACTCAGCAGCCAAAGAAGCACACAGACTGGGAAAATATACAGTCGTTAAATGGAATCTTAAAGATGCAATATGTGAGATACACCGAATACTGAAAGAAGAATGGGAGAGAGAGTATGCAGAGTTTGCCAGCGTTAAACGCAGAGGATACTGCTCACTTTTTCCCACTACCTCAACAAAACCATGGTTCCTAAATAGAAATAATGTAAAAGCCATTGACGCTAAAAGGATCAATAGACTGCTTAGCGGCAGTGCATTTGATAGGCACACACTTGCCAAAATGCACGTAGTCGCAAGTAACATTTGTGATACCTGCGATACTATCGATGACGCATCGCATATAATTTTTAATTGTACCAAGTACAACGCAACAAGACTAAACTACCCATCGCTAAGGAAATATAATAATATCTATAAATTCTTCGAAAAAGAACAAATCAGCTCGTACCAAACTTTAATCGAGTTCATCGACAAAATTGGAGTAAAACTGTAACAAGTTACATATCTCGACGTGGCGATTTCCACCTTGCAAAGGCGGGCGGCCAAATAATCCCCCTCTACCCAAGGATAGAGCGGTAACATAAATCCCCAAAAAAAAAAAAAAAAAAAAAAAGGACCCAAAAATGCTTCACTTCGCACGTTACTTAAACCCAGAACTGCGACACGATACACCACTCTGCAGGTATTGCTTCAATACCCTGGGAAGGCTCTACAGGTTCAAAATAAAAAATGCACTGAAGCATAATAATGATAAGAAGCCGGCTACAAGCATCTCGGACGTGATCTCCAGTCAGCGACCGGAACTTATTTCGTCCTCGAACCCAACCGCGACGACGTCCACAACGGCGGCAGCTAACCCGCCACCTGTACCCGTCCATACAAACCCCAGCGAGGAGAGAATGCCCACAACACGTGCAGCGGCTGCGGAAAAACGCAAGCACTACAATCCGCCGCCAGCGGCTCAACAGGAATCTAACAGCTCATATGTGAGCGATGACGACGATCGCAATTCGAATCTGAGTCTGAATGCGGTGAATTGTACTCGGCTGCCGCACATCCAGCCGATCCCCAAACGACGGACGGTGCACCTGAACAAGGAGGCCATGGCTATATACCTGGCCGGGACCACTGGAGGCTAAAACAAGGCTCGTAATTAATTAAATTTGTTTTTGAGTGGAACAAAGAAAAGAGGCAACGTTAGTGACTTCTGTGAAGGAACCTTTTTTGTTTCTTTTCTTTATTATTAAAATGTTTATGCGGATATAATTTGTGAAACATTTGTACGCGTAGTCAGATGATACACCATTGAACCACCCAAAAACCCAGCTATATATTTCCGAAAAACGGCGCACGTGCTTTCATGATTTTGTGATTCGTCGGACACATCTTGCATACAGACAAATTAAAAACTGGTATCCTGCACAGATGGCTGCATATTTCAGTCATAGCTATCATTATCAGCCAAAAATGTCTATTTAATTTAATATTTAAATTTTGCCTGCAGACTGCTGTATGCTCGCCGAAAAGGGCGAAAATCTTCCACAGCAACAATTTTGGAAAACTGAAAGCGCCATTCCGTAGGGAAGAACTATATTTAATTGGAATCAGATTGTATCATTATTATAGCCAGAATGAAGAAAGGGCTTATATGATACAGCTTCAGTAACGAAGAAGGTGACATAAAGCACTGAAAACCAGAAGGGACGTGTGAGACGCTTCTTACGTGTCACAACTTTTATACCCGGTACTCAGTACTACATATGTACCTTAGCGGTTTTTTGTCAAATTTAACATTTTTTCTTCATCTACATCAACAACAGTACTCACGCCAACAGGATCATTTAGCTCGCCCTCTCCCCTAGAGCCACACACTAGAGTCAGAGCAGAGACGCGGCAGAGACGTGTCTGAGCGAAGCAGAGTGTAAATGAGAGAATGTGCCAAAAACAAATATAAGCTGCGGGATTGTGGCCATAATAATGATCCAAATTTGGTGATATGATAGATATGGGCATTCCCTACGAAACGGCGTTTTTAGTTTTCTTTTATCTTCAAAGTTGTAGATTTGGGAGGTTTTCGCCCTTTTGCGGGGGCGGAAGAGGGCGGGGCTAATTTTTGAAATACACTGCTTTCAGTGTGAGCATACAGCAGTCCGGAGCCAAAATTTGGTGGCTCTAGCTCTTATAGTCTCTAAGAACTAGCCGACAAACAAGACGGACAGACAGAAATGGCTATATCGACTCGGCTATTGATGCTGATCAAGAATATATATACTTTATGGGGTCGGAAACGCTTCCTTCTGTGCGTTACATACAACCGTTATTCACACAAATACAATATACCCTATTTACTCTTCGAGTACCGGGTATGAAAAACCACTTAGGACGTCTACTGAGTACCGTATATAAAAGTTGAGACTCCTCGTTATTATTTAGTCTTTCGTACATTTGGATAGTTTAACTAACATTTTGTCCGATGAAAGCTCCAGGTATTTTTTTTCCATAAAATTCTCAATACGACCTTTAATCAATTTAATGGGACACAAGCCGAGGTTGTGTTCCTTGATGACTTGATATATCAGCAATTGTGGTTTCAACTGCTTCTCTCTTTCCATGATGCGCACTATTGCTGCATCCAGCTCTGCCGTCTTTAATTTAGGAGTATTGGTTTCAGGTACCCTACCGACTGGAGCATTTGTAATGTTTATAAGCGACTTCTTGCTGTTATAATCAGTGCACACAGTTATGCAAGATGCCGGCGTCAAGGCTGCTGAATTTTTACCGACGATCAACACCTTGCGGTCAATCAGTGGACGCAATGCCTATAACGAGAAAAGAATGTTTTCATTGAGTTTGATTTTCATGCAATAATCAATTATCAAGTACCGTAATTAGGGTCTCCGGGCTGGTTCCAACATTTTCGGCCAATTTCTGGACAGCGAAAATGTTCTGATGATTAAACTGCAGCAGCAGGGCCATTTGCAAGGTGTTTACCTGGAGAGTATAACACTTCAGGGAACTCACGTTCATGGTTAGCTCGCCCTGAGACTTTTGTATATTTAAGTAGAGCCCATATTTTGTATACTGTTGAGACCAAAATACTTTGAATTCACTGACGGACTGCTCCAGTTCCAAGGGCAATCTCATGGCATTACTTAACTCCGGGAGCTTTGTGACTTTAAAGAACGTCATACGCAATTGAATTCCCACTTTTAAGCCTATTCCCAGCAGGACGTCCTGGCACCTTGCGTGTACATCTTTCGAAGCCGCCATTTCATTTGTATAGATTCTTTCTACGAAATCACCCCCAAGATCCTTCCTTAGCATTGAGATCATAAATGATTCCTTTTCATACGAAGTATAATCGTATATATCGTATGTATAATCGATACGTCGCTTGTGCAGTAGTGTTAAGTATGTTTTCGTAAATAGTTTCTTGTTCTCATTATTCAAAAATGCCGCAACCTCTACAATTCTTTTCAATTCATTTTTGAGCATTTCGGAACATTGATTCTTTTTTAGTAGCTTATGACAGTATAGGGCGAGCATTTTCGGTGGATTCCCCTCTTCTGCGCCATCGGATATTTTGTTTATCACCTTAACGCGCACTAGATCAGCGACAGCCAAAAGTTCTATGCTATCGAAAGCCCTTAACAACGGAAGTTTACGCAGGGACAACATGGCATGAACATAGTCCCTGCCATAGTCCCTGGTGCATCTGCTAATGTCATTCTGCAGCAAGCACTCAAGGTGTTCGCTCAGGATTTGGCAGAACTCGTGCTCAATCCAAGGAATGCATGATACGGCACACTTCACGAAATGTTTCAGTTCTTTATGCGAGTCTGATCCCACTATGCTTCGGAACAAAGTTTTCGATTCAGCTTCGAAAAACTTTAAAACTTTTGCTTCAAATACGTTGTTCATTTTTTCTAGCACAGAGCAAGACTGATTTACGTCATTTGCAAACATATCGACGATCGACTCCAACACGGTATATATTCTGGAGGGGTTAATGGACTGTGCGTGTATTTCCTCCACCATAGTGTGATGAATAGCATTGATAAGAGATCGATCAATCGGACTGAATATAACTGTTTTCCACGTAATCATAGCCAGACGGTAGATCGTATACACATGGTCACGGCCTTCCAGCCGCTCTCTTTTTACCCAATTCTCGTTTAAGTAGCTACACCCGATATCCAGAACAGTGGCAGAAGCCTGGTAGGATTTCCAGCAGCGGTGATACTCACGGAGCAACTCCTGTTCGTCGTTTATTGACTCTAGCTCCGCGACTATGCTTCTAAGTCTAATGGTTAGAAAATTCGTTAAGGCGAGGTATACCTTTTTACCGGCTTCCTGGCTGCGTTTGCTTTCACTTAACACGGTGCAACACAGCTCACAGATGGTCATGTGCAGAGTCATTAGATCCTGTCGCTTCCATGTGGTGTCGTTTCGAAAGATCCTTTCCACATGGACCGACAGCCGTTCGCTGAAGTCGGTAAATGAGTTTTTTTTCGAAGACATTCCAGATGGAGGTTGTGACTCAGTTCTAGGGAACCACCCGAGTTTCAGCAAAGAGGTTCCCGAATCGAATGGTAGAGCGCTTGCAACACACCCGTGGATACCCAGACGAATTTTATACGAATTTATGCTGTCTTAATTAAATTAAAATTGTCTAAATTATTAAACTTATACATATACCACTGATAATGATATTGATAACTCTCTATGCGATATTTGTAATGCTGTCGATAGCTGTGCTCTTTGAAACTATCGAAACTTAACCGATAAGGGGCGCATGGGGCAAATAGAAATTTTCGCCGGCAACTAACCTCACACGTGTAGTTAAGACAAGTTAATTTCCCAAGCGCCCAGTTTGCATTTATAAAAAAAGAAATGGTATGTTGAGCTAGGAATCCAACCGAAGAATACGACAGCCACTACTTAAAGGTGTGGCGTAATTTTGCTCCAGAAGTTTCCACATCTTAGTGAGATTTCGCTGCACTGTTGTGTAACATCACAGATTGGCACAGAGCAGATAAGTACAAAAAACATGAATTGATTTGAATTAATATTGTAGGCCGCTGCTATTAAGAAGATCATACCCATGCTGGACCGCATTCTAATTCAACGTGCCGAGGCGCTCACCAAAACGAAAGGCGGCATTGTATTGCCCGAGAAGTCGGTGGGCAAAGTTCTCGAAGGCACTGTTGTCGCTGTTGGCCCTGGTGCGCGCAATGCTGTAAGTATTTCATAGTTGTGCCACATTGTTGATCATTGCTCTCTGTGTGTGCAATCTCTGTATGTACATATGTGACGAAATTAATTCGCTTGTGTTCTTTCAAGTCAACTGGCAGCCACATTCCTATTGGCGTGAAAGAGGGAGACCGTGTTCTGTTGCCCGAATTCGGAGGCACCAAGGTTAACCTGGAGGGCGATGTGAAAGAACTCTTTCTGTTCCGTGAATCTGACATCCTGGCCAAACTGGAATAGGCACCTCTCGGCGCACCAGTCTCAAAATTCTATGAATTCTATGTTTTATTAGTATGTAACACCACCAACCACAATAAACGCTGATGCAATATTTTTGTTTGCAATTGGCCTTGACCGCTATCCAATAAAAGCCGAGTTACTCCTTACGTGTAAAAAATATATATTTGAAATCCTACTTATGATTTAAGCTAATCCAATTTTAGGTTGCGCAACCCATAAACTTGATTGAAGGCAGAACGTTGCTTTATATCGGGTAATCCCTCAACGGCGGCCCGTTCCCGCGAGATCTTCACCAAAGCCTCAAATGACCGCGGCTCCCAAATGGCCAAGTCTGAGAGCATTTTTCTGAAACGGGAAGAGTATTGATAGCAGATCTACGCGTTAAAAGCACATCTTACCTGTTCAGAAGGATGGAGGTGCGCGTCAGACCCTCCTTAAAGGTTTCCAACCCTACGCCATACTGCTGACAGCCAGCCTCGACGCGCGTCGTCCACAACTGGGCCATGTCCAGCTTCTTCAACTTGCGTCCCTTGGTGGCGTATGCCAAGGCTCGGTGCACACTCCGAATAGCAAAGGAATATACATTGCGAGTGCGACTACGATAATGCTAGAACAACAAATGCATTAAGTATTCTACATGATTCCTATATTTTACGAGTCCACACACCGCTGCCAATTTGAAAATACGTCTTTTACGCCAAAACTCATCAGGCCCGCGAGCTCGCACCAATAGTGGTATGTTTAGGAACACCATGTCTTGATTTCTTCAACAGTTTTATTAATTTTTTATTGATAAAAACAATATTTTCTATTTTACATAACCCGCATATGCTGGCATGTGTATCGACAAGATATATCGATACGGACTATCGGTCTCTCACAGCTGACACCACTATCGGTATCACCAATTGCCGGTTTATTTACATTCTGCGAATTTTTTCAAGCAAATGTTCTTAAAAACAAAATTTTCCATGATTTAGCGATCACTAAGTGCACGAACAATCGCATAATTTAGTTATAATGTGTGCAAACAGCCAACGCAATCCCGCTACTGGGACAACCAGCGCTTGCTCGTCGTGCTACGAGGGTCGTCTAAGTTTGTATTGTTTTGTGAGTACAGCGACCCTTGTTCTTATCCCATCGGTGCCGCAGATCTACTATGGAATTGTGCCGAACGTGTGGGGTGCCGTCCTTTGGGGACCGGTCCTTTACTACGCCCTGATTAATATGATCATACGATTTGTGCTTAGAAACAGCGACTACCAGGTGAGTCATGCCCACATTTTCGAAGTTTTCGTTCTTATCATTATTGTTCCTTCACTAGGTGGCCATACGGGCGTCGTTTCTGGGGTTCGCCGAGGCCGTGAGCATACTGGTCATTTGCTTTTCTCCTTCGTCTTGGCGACAGTTTGGGGTCTACGGGTGCTTTATGGCATTCTTCCATTATTCCGAGTTCCTGGTCATAGCCTACGCCAATCCGCGCACGCTGACCCTAGACTCGTTCATGCTCAACCATTCGGTGCACTATGGGCTGGCGGCGGCGGCTAGCTGGATTGAGTTTGCCCTGGAAGTGCACTTCCTGCCCGAGTTCAAACGCTTCGGATACATTTGGCTGCTGGGCATGGCAATGTGCACCATTGGCGAGCTAATCCGGAAGTCGGCCATCATCACAGCCGGACGAAGCTTTACTCACCTCGTAAGCCATTTAAAAACCAACAAACAATTTTTTTGATTCTACTTAAAAATACTTGAACAGGTCCAAAATGAGAAACACTCGGACCACAAGCTCATTACGCACGGCATATACGCATACTGTCGACATCCTTCCTATGTCGGCTGGTTCTGGTGGTCCATCGGTACACAGTTCATACTGATGAATCCCATTTGCATCTGTGTCTACACGCTAGTCAGCTGGCTATTCTTCCACGATCGCATCTACGTCGAGGAGTACTCCCTGCTCAATTTTTTCCAGTCGGACTATGTGCGCTATCAGAAGCGGGTGGACACGGGCCTGCCCTTCATAAAAGGCTATCTTCTTGAGTAGCGGCGTTGTACAGTTGAGGTCAGCAACACAAACACACACAAATCACAAGATCGAGAAGATCACGAAGCTACACAAATTTCTATCTTATACTAAGTTAAAAAAAAACATCTTTTGTACAGCCGAAAAAACAGCACATTTACCAAAATAAGTTTAAAGATATTTTAACATATCTTAAATGTTGAATTTTTATCTCGATGTGCGTATGAAGTATTGTGGAATTCGTAAAGTATTTCGGCAGACACCGAACCGACCGCGATGTCAGATGCCTCATGATTGGGAAGTTTCAATGAGTCCAAGAAGTCAAAGAATTGAGTTGAGCAGAGTGTTGACATGTGGATAGTTCTCTGGTACCTTGTGTCACTTTTGTTTTATTATCAATTTAAATTCGAATATTGCTCTATCTATATAAAACACAAGCCGATTCTCCATCACGTTCCTCCGCAGCTGTATGCTTGTTAGTTAGTGTCTTTCGCTCTGTGCATGTTCATGTGCATGTGTGAGTATGTAGGTTAGGTTAAATGTATGTACAAACAATTATCTGTGTTAACAAAAATGTCTTAGTCACTCTCTTGTATAGAATATTCACTTAATTAACAATTGCAACAGCGACCTGTGTATGTGTACTTTTGTGTGTGTAATGTATTTTTCTGCCATTTAGACTCATCCTGGTCATTTTCCTCCTGTGCATCCTCTTTATTCGACAAACTGCGGCTCACCCGTATACGTACATCCAGGATTCTTGATAATATGTCCAGCAGCATAGTTACCACATCGTATGCATACATCGAGGGACTTACCCTGCACAAACTGCGACAGAAAACCGCCAACGAATGCATCCCCAGCGCCATTGGTATCGACAATCTCATGCACCGCCAATCGTGTGACCGGAAACTCTTCAACCGAGTCCCGCTGGATGAGCAGCACGGGATCACAGCCCTGCGTTAGTATGGCAATGCGAGGTCGCGCCGGATTCAGTTTGTCCAGCGCCACCAGACGCTTGCCAATCTCGCGCAGATCCTCGGTCGGCCAGCCTTGGGCCGTAGCAAAGGCATGCGCCTCTGCCTCATTCCCAAAGATGATGTCCACATAGGGCATGACGGCCAGAAGCGGTGCCATGTAAAATTGTGATATGAATGGTGCGCTGAGGTTCATTAGGAACGGTCGCTGCTTGGCAAGGGCAGTGGCTGCCACTTGCATTATGCTAGGCGGGTTCACAGTGAGGAAGAAGCCCTGCCGGGAAATGCAATCAAAGTGTTATATTAATATAAAGTGTTATATTAATTGGTCTAATCTAATCTATCTGGTCACTCAAGTAGTGAGTAGAACTTGAGTAGGACCGAATTGACTTCCTGCCATATCAAGTCATAAGCTTTTGTATTTTATATATATTGCATCCATTCTATGATTCTATATTGTACTCACCGAAATATAGTAGTACAAGGCATTTTCTACCAAGGTCTTGTTGAGGGGCTGATCCAAATGGTCGATGGTGAAGTTGTTGGCCGCCGCCAAGTTTGCGCATAGCGATCGATGTGTGCCGGTGATGAGAACAGCGCAGGTTCCCGTGGGTACGTCCTTCTTGATTTGATAGTGGACGTCCAGTCCAGCGGACCTGGCCTTCTCCATTAGTATATCGGCATACTCGTCCTCACCCACGCAGCCAAAGAAGACGGCCACCTTCGGCTGCCCCAATATCCATTGGGCAATGCGCAGGGAATTCTGCACCGATCCGCCGGCCAGGAATTCCGCCTGGAAGCCATCTACCAGCTCCCGATAGATGGGCATATGTCGCTCCTCGGCCAGGATGGCATCGTCCTCCTTCATCTCATACTTCTTTAAAAAGTCCATTGGCACACTGGCGGAAATGTCCAGCAGTGGATTGCCACATCCAACCAGAATGCCTTCTCTGCGTTGGATAGAATCAAAAGGATTAGTTTCATTGCGGAATCAACCTGAAACATCCCTAACCGCCACACCCAACCTAACGGTGCTGCTCCGATCCCACATGTCTCTCGCTTGAAGGGCCTGTCACTAATGCGGCCAATTGTCAATTAGAATTCCAAATTCAACGACGATGTCGCTTAGCAGCACAATCGTTTGGCGATGAACCCTACCGATAGCCCCCTGCTCATAGCAGGAGTAAGAGTTCTGGTCCATATAATAGGTACGCTTCGAACGCCATTTTATACCCGGTACTCGAAGAGTAAATAGGGTATATTGTATTTGAGCGAATAACGGTTGTATGTAACGCACAGAAGGAAGCGTTTCCGACCCCATTAAGTATATATACGGAGCTAACGGAGCGTGTTGGCTTGAGAAGTGTTGTAGATGTAGATGACAGATGAGAAAAAATTTAAAATTTGACAAATAACCGCTAAGGTACAGATGTAGTACTGAGTGCAAGGTATAAAAGTTGTGACGCGTAAGAAGCGTCTCACACGTCCCTTCTCGTTTTTTCTATGCTGATCGCAGTTGTTTGGACGCCAGTGTTGGGTATCTGACCAATAGGAACTTCTCTCTACAGAATCATGCCATTCACGATGAAAATTACTTCGAATCAAAAACCTACTATTAAGCATTGTGTGGGCTTGTTTACGCGCCTTCGACTGTTGTTGCTGCCAAGAATGTGCTCCTCTTATCAGCCGCATATTTCGGAATCAAAAGGCAAACAGCGCCCAATACGCACATATGTTCGTGTACATATATTTGGATTATTAATTCATTCATATACCTCTGGTCCTCAGCACCGTCCCCCATGTCAAGCGGGTCAACACCCATCGAATATAGAGATAACGACACCAAACTCGCTCCCACACACACAGAACCCGCAGAACACGATTTTCACATGCCGCTGTACATTTTCGGCAATTAGATCTAAATATGTACACATGTATGCATGTGTGAATGTACAACGCATAAGAACGGAACGAGAGCACATGGTGTCTTTTTATAATACAACTTTTAGTCTAGTCTTCTACAACTACAACACAAACTTACTGCAGCGTGCTTGTCATTTTGTTGTTGGATTAGCTGCCTTCTTATGTAAACATTAACGAGTTATTGCACTTTTCAACTGACAGCGTGAGCCTCGTGTGCGCTTGTAAAGCTATCTACCAATCTATATTATTAGAAATATTTGACCAGAGAAGATTTATAGACCAATTGTAGTTAATCTAAGGAAGCGCGAGCTGCTAGCTCTTGAATTTAGGATTGTTTATGTTGTATCGATATGGGCGATATTTTTACCATGCAAAACATTGGTATCGATGTGCGATGTGAACGCCTTTTTATGGTCGTAAATTTTAAAAATTATGAATTCAACACAATATATTTTCCAATTTTAGGCTTATATTTTAGCCCAGTACTCAGATGCTCAACATTTTTTTTTGACAGAATCAGGGATGATATTCCCATACAAACGATAAGAAATCAATCCTGTTTTTTGTTCGACAGACAATTTTGCCGCTAGAATTTTGCAGTTGAGTACCTAGATCAGCAGAAAATATGCAAGAATATCCCAGAAAACCAGCCGATTAAATACTAGAAATACCGCAGCTCAAGATACATTAAATAAATGTTTTGTCGGGGTTTCCTAGGTGCATATAAGGTTTATTTACTTTTAAAAAAGATTAAGTATATTTTGGTATTTTTTTGAGGGTCAGCCGGTTTATTTTATGGACAAGTCTTCGGTCACGCTGATGATTTCTTTCTTTCCGGTTGTTTAAAGGTGCGAATGTGTATGAAAATTGGGCTGAATTAATTTGACGGTATTTGTGGCATCCTAACAAATAATGTGTTTTTTATATATCATTGCAGTGAAGTGAATCCTCAATCGCTAAAATATGGCCGACGTTGATGTGTAAGTCGACACTTAATAGGTCAAAATGGAAGTTTATGCCTTTGCCCGCCATTTGGGTTTCTGATGAAATTAATTGGTCCGTGTTTATGAATTTACATTGATTATAAATTCTCCAATTACTGACAAATCAAGGCTAAATGAAGTTTGCCGTCCTGTTTATGTTATGAATAAGTAATTTATTGATATATTGCCACATTATTGCAGTGATGTGCCCTCAGCTGCCCCCGTCCTCGATGGCGCCATGGACATTAACACTGCTCTGCAGGAAGTGCTGAAGAAGTCTCTGATTGCTGATGGTCTCGTGCATGGCATCCACCAGGCATGCAAGGCCCTGGACAAGTAAGTGGACCAAAATTCCCAAACTGGCTTTCCCTTGAGTGTCTCTGATGAAATTAATTGGTCCGTGTTTATGAATTATCCATTGATTAAAAACCTTCCAATTGCTGAGCACATGTCCGCCAGCCGGGTTTCGCCAACCCCCTCGCTATCCCACCAATTCCTTTTCTAACCTATTTTCACATCCATTTCTTTGGACAGACGTCAGGCCGTTCTGTGCATTCTGGCAGAGTCCTTCGATGAGCCCAACTACAAGAAACTGGTCACAGCCCTGTGCAACGAGCACCAGATCCCCCTGATCCGCGTGGACTCGCACAAGAAGCTCGGCGAATGGTCCGGCCTGTGCAAGATCGACAAGGAGGGCAAGCCTCGCAAAGTATGCGGCTGCTCGGTGGTGGTCATCAAGGACTTTGGTGAGGAAACACCCGCTTTAGATGTGGTTAAGGACCATCTCAGGCAGAACAGCTAAACCATATGCTGTCCCCTGTCTGTTGAATGAGAGACTACGTGAGAGTTTTTTATGCTGATAAAAATAAAAACGTAAGAAATCCGATAAATAAAAGAAATTGACCCTCTTTACATTTTTGGAAAGTTCTCTTTAACGCAACTAGAATAATGGAAAAAAGTCCAATTAAGCACTGTCCAGGCAGGCAGTTTTGTGCTGTGGCCAGTCCTTTAGTTGGCACTCGCTGCAAAGTAAGCGCAAGGGGATTATAATGAGAGCTGATGCAGAATAGAACCACGCGGCTTACCGTGAGCAATAGTGAGCCTTCTTGCATTTGGCGCACTTCTTTTTTGCCTGAGCCTGGCAAGATGCGCACTTGTTTATCTGCTCTTCTGCTGCGGCGTCGCCGCCAGCCCCAGAATCCGGTTGAGACTTTGGATTCCCCTCTTGCAAATTCAGATCGTCTATCTTCTGCTCCAGCTCGCACAGGAGCTCTGTGCCGTAGGCAGCACTTAAGCGGCTAGCTATGTCACAAATCTGCTTCTTGTCCATGCTAAGAAACACGGAATCCTGTGCCTGGGCTATCTGATAAAATCCGCCTTCGCGATCAACCTCCTTGATGAGGTCGTTTTGTATTTGGGGCAGATCTTCCAACAGAAGAGGGTGCGACTTTGCCGCCGTATTGCCGCTGAGGGTCAAGCGGCTAAGGAATTGCTTCAGCCCAATGAGTACGGGCAGCTGGTCCAAGAGCGTTTCGTGCATTAGACCCAATAGCTGAGGAAGATAGGACACAGTCATTCAAAACGCTCATGGGGAGTGGCACCCTCCCAGTCATCACCTTTGACAGCTGCTTGCAACGCGCCTCGTTCAGCTCGTAATTCTCCATGATCTGTGGATTAAGAAGCAGCTGATGCACACAGAACCAGGCCTGTGCCTCGGGCTTGACGATCTTGGCGGTATCCTCCACATTGGTCCACTTCTCGTCGATAAATTTTTGCAGCCCCTTGCTGGTCTTCCGCTGCCAGGGTCGGAAGCAGAGCACATCCACCATTAGCCAGGGGATGTCGTGAGAAAACAGCAAGCGACGAGTGGCGCTCAGGTGAAAGAGCGAAACATTGTCGGCCAAGTAGTTAAGAATGGAGATGCAGCGCAGGCCGATCTTGTATATGAAATTGCGCTTCTGGCGTTCCAGCTCTGTGAGTACAGCCTCATCAACGTCCACCTTTGACTCGTTCTCGTGGTAGCCCATGCTGACTAGACCAATCACCTGGGACACTGCATGTCCACAGTAGTCGATGAGATCCAGCACCGATTCCTGCAGCGTCTCGCAGCCACTGGGGTGATAGAGGCACATGTCCAAGAGAGCCACCAGCGCCGCCTCATGGTACATCACCGTGTAGATGAGAAACGTGGCCTTGGGATTCGGGTCGATCTCCAGCAGAAGCGGTAGCACCCGAGCCTTCCACAAATTCACGCAGTAGGCCTCGTGTATCAGCAGGCGAAGTTTATCTCGTGAAATGAGAAATTCCTTGACCTCCTCCTCACGGTTCTGGGCCGCTTCGTAGGCCGCCTGCTGGCTCAGCTTGATGACCATCTCGTGCACCTCGAGCCACTTGCTGTTTCCAACGTCGCGCACCTCAAACCCGCGAATACTTTCAACGAAAAAGTACAGCTCCTCGGGATAAACAAAGTTTACCATTTTTTTTTCCTTATGTTCAAAATAATTGTCTTTCTAAATTTGTTTCTACCAACTGTGATCGGGGTTTTGCTTGTGACTGATTTTATCAGTAGGAGAGAGGAGGTAGGTCCGTTTTTTTGGTTACCATGACAGGCAACGGTTGCTAGGACTCTGTTTTATAACAGGAAATTTAGTTAAGTAAATAAAACACGAAAGTCTTGGCAGGCCTTGCCATCAACGATGTCAGTCAAAAACAAATTCGGAAAACTTGTAGATCATTCCATTCTTTACCCATCAATTAGTTTGGGTATTAATAACTAAGGAACGTGTTTGGCAACTAAGATGTAAATTTAATCTAAGAATACTTTAAGTTAACCGACTAAATTAAAACAAGGAGACATTCAAACATAGATCACACAAGTTTCTACTTTCAGGTAAGCTGAGCATTCCTCTCCACTCGGGGAGCCTAGCGATACAGTCGCACTTGTTCGTCGAGATCCTGTTCGCTGATTCGATCCTTGAGATTCAGTTCCGCCTCTTGCTTACGCAGCATTTCAAAAATGGCCGCCAGCTGCTCCCTCTCAATGCGACGCTCTTCCATGATCTGGTCGGCTGTTAGGGCCTTCTCAAAATTGTTCTGCATATGTTTAGTCTTGAACTTTCCCATGAGATGACTGTAGTCCTGGCTGGGTTGGTGATCCTCAATGAGCTCAGTGTCGCTATCACTTGTACGCTCCTCAAAGGCCTCGTCGTCATCCAGATCCAGTTCGTCATCATCATAATCCTCGTCCTCAAGATGCTTCCTCAGCTCGGAATCGTCTTCATCATGCACTTCATCGGGACCCAGCCCCTCGTCCTCCAGATCCTGCATGCCGTGCAAATGTGTTTGTAAGCATTTTAAAGGATACTTTCATGCGCTGCAGGATTTTAGGGAACTCACGTTGTTATCCTTAAAGAAGTTTGCAAAATAAAAGGCCACCAGAACGCAGAGTAGGAGAGTAGTCAGGGCGATAGAGTAGTGACCGGGTAGACCCAGGAAGAGACCGTCCAGCGATGACAGTATTTCGTGCATTTTCACCTGATTTTGTTTATTTTTAGAGTTTCTTCTTGAGCCAGAAGTGTGCCCACAGGACGCAAGCGAAAAGATACCAAAAAATATACCAGCGATCTAAAAATTAACAAAAAAATACATTGATAAATACATATTTATTTTACGGGGATATATAAATAAAAAAAATCTACAAAATTCAAAATATATCCTATTGGCTGGTATTCATTGCGGAGGTATCCGAGCTCACATCAGCAATATGAAAAGAGGCATCTTCAGCGGGAATATCGTCCTCATCAGTGTACATTCGCCGCAAGCGCTCTTTGTATCTGTTGAAGGATTGACAGATATTTTAGGAACGTTAAGTAATAAAAGCGGCCATTCATGAAATTCATACAGTTCACTGTCTGGGTTGTTTGCCTGATTGCGGCACTTATCCAGCTTCTTTTCGATGGCTTTAACCCTATCACGATCGGGTTGCTGGTACTGTTTGACCATGATTCGGATTTCTGTGGAAACAAATATACATTAACAGCAATTATTGGGGTCAAAGCCAGTCAGAAGTAAGTCTTACTTCGCACTGCATCAATAAGACCTGGCAGCTTATCCCGCGCAGACACAAACAGCAAATCCGTAACATAGCTGTCCAGATTCTCCTGTTCTCGGCTGGCCGCATGCAGCACAGCGGCCAGGCCGATCTGCGAGGGTGTATGCAACAAGCATGCATCCGTGTAATATGTGGAATCGACGAAGCTTTCAATATGCGGACGTAAACGATCCGGATTCTGCATATTGCTGCGAGTCTGAGGCAAAAGGTTAGATGGCCATGCCCTTTACAATGTCGTTTGATTTTCTCACCTTTATATCTATAAGGAACCCCTCGATGGGTCTGAACGGGTTGTGTATAGTGAGGTAGTAGTTCAGTTGGCCAATCAACAGCAGCTCATTGGACAGAACAATGTCTGTGGCTTTGTTCCGATCCCCTTTGATGTTGTTGACAAATTGACTAATGGACACGTTAAACTCCTCCACCTTGCAGGCAACGAACACACAGGTGGCCCTGTGAATAAAGGCTCCGTGATTAGACTATTCTCCTTTTCGTTTAAGTTGCTCATTCTCACAGTATTTCCTTGGGATGATAGTCCATCGGCGTGTTGTTCAGATAGAAACGCTTAAAATAGTGAAACGCGGTGCCCACCACACATTTTGGCATGGGCGGATCGAACCGGCGACAAAAGTCAAACAAGTAGACTTCATATTGTTTCAGCAACAGGCGCTCCTCGGCCGGCGTCAGAAAAAATTCCTCCAGGTCGCTATCCTGACATTCGGATTCGTGCTCCTCAATGTACTTGGAATTCTGCTCCACTCGGAATCCCAGCAGCTGTGCCTCATTAGCAAATGTCCAGGACTTTTTCTGTGAGCTCACAGGATACATTCTGCACAGAATATTAAATTTTCAATCAACATTAGTACGATCCCGGACTTATCGATAAAATATACTGCCCGACCCTCAAAAATATACCCTCTCATTATCTAAATATACCGTAAAAATATGCCGTAACGTAAACAATTCGCGATTTTGATATTCTATTTAATATTATAAGCTAGTTAGGACTCTCAGCACGAAACCAAAACTATTTTATCCGATTGCTGCATCAAATTTCCAACAGGTTGGCTAGTTTTTATGACTTTCTTTCAATAGGTGGCTGTAAAATAATAAAAAACGAGAAGGGACGTGTGAGACGCTTCTTACGCGTCACAACTTTTATACCCGGCACTCAGTACCACTTCTGCACCTTACAGGTGTTTTGTCACATTTAAAATTTTTTCTTCATCTGTCATCTGCATCTACAACACTTCTCACACCAACACGCCCCTTTAGCTCGCCGCCCTTCCCTAGACTCACACACACAGAGGCAGCGCCCGCACATAAAAAAAAAAAACATATGTAAGCCACGGAACGGGGTGGGTTAAAAGTCGGCAGAGGCATCGGCAGAGGGACGGCAGAGGCAGGGGCCGAGTGAAGCAGAAGCAGAGTATGAATGAGAGAATGTGAAAAAAAACAACAAAAGGTGCGGGACAGGGTGGGTTAGCCACTGCAAATTAATTTCGTCATTTTGGCTATAATAATGATCCTATCGGATCCTAATTTGGTGATCTGATAGATATGGCCATTCCCTACGGAATGGCGTTTTTAGTTTTCTTTTATCTTCATTGTAGATTTGGGAGGTTTTCATCCTTCTGCGGGGGTGGAAGGGGGCGTGGCTCATTTTTTAAATACACTTGTAACAGTGTGAGCATACAGAAGTCTGCATGCAAAATTTGGTGGCTCTAGCTTTATGGTCTCTGAGATCCAGGCGCTCAACAAGACGGAAGGACGGATGGACAGACGGACGGACAGACAGACATGGCTCAATCGACTCGGCTATTGATGCTAATCAAGAATATATATACTTTATGTTTTATGGAAACGTTTCCTTCTGTGTGTGTTCTGTCTGTTGTGATGAATCTGTTGGTACTTCCTGCCTGGAATCATTTAAATTCAATTTATTTCAATTCAAAAGTAAATCAATATAGAATTCGGACAGCTTTAGGGCCACATAAGAAGCTTGGTATATCCTTTATATGAAAGCTATTGGTTTTTATTATAGAATATATTCGAGACTGACAGACGGACAGACATGGCTTTATCGACTAGGCTATTGATACTGATAAAAAATATATAGATATACTTTATGGGGTCGGAAACGTGTATCCAAAATACCCTATTTACTCTTCAAGTACTGGGTATAAGAAGGGGGTTTCTAGTATTGGGGGAAAACGTCTTCCAAATGTTCATAAACTCATAATGTGAAAGGTATGCTTCGACAGAGCTGTAAAAAACATGCAAGTAGATCTAGAATACGTGTGGGCCCAAAAATTTGTCCAGAGCCTGGTCCCTACGCACACTGGGGAAGTTGACCACTTTTTCCGGCCAAAGCGCACCACTGTTTAGATAAAAGCTTTTGAAGTGATTTTTAACTTACAAAAATTGGTAAGTTGACCAAGTTAAGTGAATTTTGTTCAATTGGCTGGATTCGTACAGGCGAGTAAAATGTGCTTGTGAGTTTTAAATGAAAAAATTGACCTCATAATATGTTTAATGGCTACTTTTTAAACAAGTCTACAAGTGTGACGAAAATTTGTCTTTAAAGAGGCTTACAAAATATCTGGTAGCTCCAGGAAGCATTAATCTGAATGGATGTTGTATATTAATCATTTCTTTATCAAATGTTTTACCTGCGCATCTGTGCGTCTTCGCAGATATTTACATTTTCGTGATATAACATAAGGTTTAAAAATTCGGACTCGTTTGCAAGGGGGAACTCAGTGACCAAGTAAATTAAATTTCTCTGAAGACCCTTTCAAGACTTTTGAAGGCAATTTCTTAACAGCTTTTCGATTAAGTTGAACAATTTCACGAAAAACTTGAAACTAAACTAAGAAAATGTGCAGATTGGATATATTTTTCTACAAACGTACAATTAAAATAAAGTTACATTGCCTAACATATTCCATATAACATATTTTTTGTTTGATAAAATTAAAAAATATAATATATAATATTTTTTTTTTTTTTTTTTTTTTTTTTTTTTTCTCTCTCTTTATATTTACAATCTGTTTTTAAACAATAAGTAAATTGTATAATTAATATTCAATTAACAGAAATAGCAGTTTTCCAATGAGCCCTGCTATTATATATAACATCTTTTTAGTTTGTTAAATTTATCTATCAGGGATATCGAGAATGTGGTATCTTTTCAGTCTTCTTACTGTTAGGCTATTGTCTAATAGACTTAAGGCTAAATTATTTTCGTGGTTGTGGAGTCTGTCGATGTATTTCTTACTAGTTTTCTTTATTTCTTCTTTAATGGTTGGAATATTCAGATCTTTGTGGATGTTTGCATTAGATACGTAAAACGGAGCATTGACAATTTGTCGCAAAGTTTTTGATTGGTAACGCTGAAGTATTTCAATATTTGAGTTGCTAGCAGTTCCCCAAAGCTGTATAGCGTAGGTCCAAACAGGCTTCAGTATGGATTTGTAG